TCCTGTGATGGTCTGAAAATAAAAATTTCTCCAACGCCTGCTCTGAAAGGAGTACTTTTCTTGTTAGAAAAGTGTAGCGAAAGTAGAACTTTTCTCAACTCCTCTGAAAAGCGTGGCGAAAGTAAATCATGACTTAATTTTTTTTCTTGTTCTTTGACCGAGATATATTTTGTGTCTAACTTCTTCTCCACTCAAAACATTCGTCTTTTATTATATTAAACATAAACACACGTTACATTAAAATTATACGAAACTCACGAAGAAACCTTTCCTTGAAAGGTGTTGGAGAAAACGTAGTGCACAACACGTGGTGAAAGAATGATTTTTCGCCACTACACGGAAAAAGTATCGGCACGTCAGATGTACAGGTTGTGTCAAATTTTCTTCTACATTTATTTTGCACGCCATCTGTGCCAGTTTGGCGTATCTGACGTGCATTATGTACGTCTGATATCTCGAAATGGCACCTCAGACGTGCAAAATGCATCTAATGTCCCAGAATTTTTTCCGTGTAGTTGTGCAATGTACAATTAACGTATAACTCAATAACGAAAGCAAGTGTTCGGAGAACGCGTTCACTAAAAGACGTAAAAATATAGAACTTTTACAAACTTTAAAAAATTCTGGTGCTTGATGAATTTGAAATTCAATTCCCTACATTCACATCTCCATTGCTTTCTTAATAATTATATTTAGGAGACTAAAGTGAGGACCAAGAAGAACAATTCCACCAAGATATCAGAAGAATGGAGCGTACTGCATAGGACAAATTAGTGCTTTATCACAAAGAAACAATTTAATTAATTGATATTTTTGTAATTTGTTTACACTTTGAGAATAATGAATATTAAAAATCGCTACATAGTCTTGAAAAAATTCTCGTTTTAAATAAGCACGATTTCCATTTCTTTTAACAGTGCAGAAGGGCTAATAATAAATAAACAATTTATAAGGTTGCTAAAAAAGTTGCAGTTTGCTGCAACGTTTCGCACGCAGCCTGGGAGCTAATAATAATGTAAATGGAAGCATAAGGTAAAGTCATGACAGGGTGGTAATCGGGCAGTAAATCGCTGTTGAAAATTTCTGTATTCGATTAGTCAGTGACGTTCCCAGAGATAGTGCAGTATCAATGATCGTGTGAGCGCGTGCTAGGAGCGATTCCTGTGTGAATTTTATTGTACGCACCCTCAATCGATTCCCTACTTTGTATTGAGGATATACATGTGTATATAGACACCTATATAGTCGGCGCTACGTCATCCTGACCCCATGGCCTGCTAACATTGCATTGCCACCACCACGCGGGAGCTCCAGACCTCGTCGCGGGAGAAGGGCTGCGAGGGTGGAGCCATTTGGATTTCATGGTGGCTCCTGTGTCGATCAAGGTGGATATTTTCTCCATGTCCGCACTTGCTCCATCTGATATGATTACTTGATCAGTAGTAATATTAGAGGAGCGCTCATGTACCACAGAGAACTGGAAAATAATCTTTAGAAGTAATTTCATTTTTCCGGATTCACGGGAAAAATAATCAAAATTATAGGGTTCTCCTCCCTTGTGAGTAACGATAATAATAGATGTACCTCACTGACTGTTTTCGGCGATCACTCGGTGTTAGCACCAAGTTAATTCCCATTGGATATAGTTCCAACAGAATGTTAATAAATATTATTGCTGATTGGACTTTCGTTACCTCGGTGTTAACACCGGGTGAACGCTGAAAACAGCCTCAAAGTATACATACTAAGTAACCTAACTACTGTTATCATAATTATAAAAATTAATTTTTAACTGTTTATTCAACTATGTGACAAATATATTTTATAATTTTCTTTATGAAACTAAACAATTATAAAAATTATAAGTTAAGTTTGATTTTGTTAAATTGTAAACAGAATCGTAGATATGGTAACTATACTTACTTTTTGTTTTGTTGAACGAAAGTGTCACCATATTGTTTTGTAACTATGACTAAGGGCTGAGTATGATTGACTATACTTTCTTCTCTCCGTTCTTTATATATATGAGGCATTTTACGTGAAATGTTCTGAGTTGAAATTTCAACTTTTTGAAAAAAATTGAAACTCAGGGAATTTGTTGTTCTATCAAGTAGAAATGTGCCCCAAAAAACATTTTTGATTTTTTGGAAAATTTGGAGGGGGAATGCCCTTTTTTTGTTTTTGAGTTATTAAAAAAGAATAAATTGCGGCGCGCTGGGACGCGGTGGCACTGAGCCGCGTGGCAAACCGGCGTGAGGCGAGATGACCGCGACACAGCGCGCTGCAATTTATTCTTTGAAATTTAATAACTCAAAAACAAAAAAAAGGGCATTCTGCAAATTTACATGCCGATAGGAAAAAACCTCAGCTTTCGTTTGCAATAATTTATTTTCAAATAAAACGGACCGATTTTTGGGAATTTGAAAATTAAATATTAATTATCAAAAATTTATTCACAAAAATCTCACAAAGGATATACGCGTATTCTTGCTCGTTCAGTTAATACAATCTATACGATATGGTGTGGGAATTTACTCATTCTTACTCATTCTTACACTGAGAAAAATGGATATTAAAACTCTTAATATATTAGATATTAAAAATGAGATACTTAAATATATTATCTAGATTTTAACGCTTAGTATATAAGATGTTTAGATTTAATATGTAGTGTATTGCAGAATATAACGTTTAGATATTGAACTTGACAATCTAATATATTGAAATTTAATATCTGTGCGTTGCGCAAGCGCAACGTCTAAGGCGCCTACAGCAGCCTACAATAAAGCAAAAGTGAGGTTATATTATCAGCCTGTTTTGATGTGCGAGCATCAAAATGGAAAAACTTACGTCGTAACTGCCAGTGAAAATTAATATTTTTTAAGTTCATTAACAAAATTAAGCAAGAAATTAAACAAAATTACAATAATTTTGCAAGGAAATTATTTTATTAAAGTTTTAAAGTGGAGTAATTTGAGTTTCATTAGTTCACCGCGGCCACCAGAATTGACGCCACCTCCTGGACCACTGACACATAGACCCAACTTGTATGTGGTTTTTCCCACATGCCCATAATAAATCTAAAAAAACATGTTATAATATTCTTTAGTAGTAATGTCGCAAGTATATAATTGAAATTTATATATGACATACGAATTAATAAATATTGACTACAATTTCATGTGTTTTTTTAGAATTTTTCTTGCAATGACTGGGAAAAATAATAATTTTTCCCTCAGTCTCATCAAGAAAAATAACCGGAAAAAGATCAGGATTTTTGTTTTAAATTAGGACCCTGATTATTATTTATAAAAATTAAAAAATGCTATAATTCTATTATTATTATCATTAATAAATTATGTATTATATCTGTAAATATATTATAGAATTAATTAATAATTATTAATGCACTAATAATGTAATTATTTGGTAATAATGAATAGTAAATTATATGCGCTGTTTTTAGAATATTGAAATTTTAGGAATTTGATTATATGTTTAAGAATTTCTGTCAAGTTTTGAGCTCTACTTCGTGGTTTTCAGGGTTTTCAGAAACCAAATGTTGTTATTTTACCGCAAGATTTAAAAATAAGTTACATTTAACCTATAAATTTGAAATGACGTTTGCGTATACATATCTTAGATAGTAAAATTAAATATCCAAGATACTTGTCTTACAGTTCACTTTCATATAGATATTGAATTTTAACATCCTGGATATTATAGGTTAATATATTCTGTCCAATATATTTAGATAGTGAAATTAACTATCCAAGATACTTGTCTTATAGTTCACTTTCATAGATATTGAATGGTAATATCTAGATAGTAAGCCTTAATATCCATTTTTCTCAGTATACGAAATTAAGTAATAAATAAATAATTATTTATTATTTTTAAGTAATATAATAATTTAAATACAAGTAAAATTTCTAAAAAAATTTTTTTTAATTTACTTATATTTGGTATATACGGGTTTTTGGGATCGCTGAATTCGAATTTGACCTTTATTTTTAAAACTACAAAATGGCGGACACAATTATAAAAATTTATTTCGATTTTCATCAATTTCAGCATCTATGGGTATTTTGGATCGCTGAATTCAAATTTCATATTCATTTTTAGAAATTCTGTTTGAAATTGAAAATTTTGTCCGCCATATTGGATCCACCATTTTGAACTTTTTTATGACTTATTTGAATTCAGCGACCTCAGAAACTCTTTTATACTAAGTTTCATAAAAATTCATCGACCAGATTTTGCTGGACATTTTGGGCCACTTATATGAATATTTTGTCAAACAGGGAAGGGGTTAATTTAACGTCTGGTTGAATTTGATTGCCCGTGGCGAACCCTTCAACCGCGATCGAGTACAGCAGCAGACTGTCAACTTCGCGATAACCTGTCTCCAGGAGGAAAGAAAACCTGCGTCGCAAAGAGGCAAATTACATTGGGGCACATCCGTTTCAATACACGACATTAAGGTCTGGGTGTGAAAGAATTTAGTGGAAAGGGTTAAAGATTAGGAAATAATTATTCATATTGATGAATAATTGCGAGGCTGGATTCTATAAGAGGATATACGCCATTAGAAACGAATGGCGTATATTCCGTTATAGAATCCAGCCCCTCAATTAATCTGAAACTTGGAAAAACATTTTATTTATAGCAATTATTTTAGTTTAAATAAGATTTTTGATTGGAAAACTTTGTCTTTGCATTAAGTTCGTTTTCTATCCAATAATTTTGTGGAGTATTGTTATGTTATCATAATATCTAACAATATTCCGAATAAGTATCATATTGGTGAGTCGGGTGACCCTTTCGTTGTTCCTTAATTTCACTTACCTGTATCTTTATAATGAATTATAATTAAATATAATTGAAACTTAAATTTCAATCAATCAAATTAAAATTTTTATAAATTTTTCCTTTAAAATTATTTTATTAATTTGAGGGAATAAAAAAGAGGATGTTATCTGGGTTATTCTATGAGTATAGAAAGAAGTAGCAATAAGAATGTTAACATACATCCATTTTGAAATAGAGATTATTGTGAATTATTAGTTCGGGATTTTTCGGAATTTTTTAATTAAAGTGTTGATCACAAACGCCTGCAGCTTTTGCCGATGAAAAGAATGCGTTTCTGATGTCAGTGCAAACTTGAGGAATTTGACCCAGAAATCGACGGAAACTCGTTTCCTCCTCTTGAATGTTCCTCCAGCTTTGCTCATCTTATGCCCATCACCTCGTTATCATTTCCTTAGGCCATGTGACCTTTCTTGTCGGCCGCGTGCAGGAGATTCATCCCCGACCCATGCGCCACACGCTTTCCCACGAAATCGCCTGGCTCCCTTCCCTCCGCAACTGCGCTCCCTTCGGAACCCCTGAACCTTCCATGGGCTGTCGAAGGGACGGCCGATTCGCCCTTCGTCTCCCACTCCGGAACATTTTACCGATCCCCACCACTCGCATCAGGTCGTGTGTCGCGATCGTCCGCCCGCACACGACATACGTTGGCCGCCACGCGACCAGTGCACACGCATCCTGTGGCACCGAGAATCCCTTTCTCTTCCTTCCTTATCAAGATACGTCTCTTTATCTCGCGCTCCACTGATACCAGACATTATTTCGCGAGGAGGAGGAGGAGGAGTTGTCGCGTGTGGACGCTGCTCACTTCCCGCCATTCCGCAAAATTACACCTGATTCGCGTTACGCGTGCACAATCGTCCGAGCAACTAACACTTGTTAAATTTCCACAACCAGTGTCGGAAAGTGATGTTTCCCTCTTCTCCTTTCGAGTGATTTTGTGAAATAACAAGTGAAACTGTTTTGTGCTAGGAAACCAACGGCGAGGATGAAATTCCACAGGTGAGAGTCTATCGTCCTCTCGTCTTTCCCAAGTCGAAAAAGAATTGCCTTTTCACCTTCAAAAACCCATAGAAAAGTTGAAATCTTCTGGGAAAATGTGGCGAGTTGTAGTTGCTCGTTCAGACGACAATAGCACTCTACTCTCTTCGGAAATCAGTACCGGAACCATGGGTCCATCAGGTCATCTTCCAAGTCTCTCTGGTCCGCCAGCGTCCCACCACTGGGGGTATCCACCGCCTCCGCACCATCCCTCGTATCAGGCGCCACCTCAGCATCCCGACATGAGGCATCACCACGACATGAGGAATGCAGACCCGAGGATACCAAATCCCAGTGAACTGAGGCCAGAATTGCGACATCCCGATCTCCAGAGAGTGGAACTGAGGCACCAGGAAATGCAGAGGCATCCCGAGATGATACGACCTGAATTGAGGCATTCTGAGATGCAGAGGCCACACGATATCCGACATCAGGACATGTCGGTTATGAGACCCGACCTTACGGAATTGAGGCCTAGTCACGAACTTCCCGAATTGAAAATTGATGGGACGGAACTGAGAACTCAGGACAGTCAGCAGCAAGCGCAGCAGCATGCTCAGGCCCAAGGACATCAGAGAAATCTCAAGAGGACTCTAAGTGATTCGGATTGTGATGACGTGTTTTCGGAGGAGAGTGGCAAGGAACCGTAAGTGTTTCTAATTATACATACATTCTATATTTTAAAAATTCCACTTCAATCAAATTCTACAACTCTTGTTTAACTTAATTGTTCTCTCGCTATCCCTTTCTCCCTTCTAATATCAATGCGAGGATATCCGGCAGTTTGGACTTATATGTCCATTCGGTCAGATTTTCGTCGGAATTATTATACAATTTCGATGAATTGGAATATAAACTTACCTGTAGTAAAATTCCTAGAGAAATCTTTATTTTCTTCCGTCTTTGTATTTTACTTTTATTATTTATTTTATCATTTATCTTTCCAAGTGGATGGAATATCCATCAAGTGTCTAAACATTAAAATTCTTTTAAGATTCTTCAGTATATTCCGACAATGTTTGGAAATCCTTGGATTTTTTTTTTATAATCTTAATTCTAAAATCAAACTTGAAAAGTTTTTAGGGAAAATATCATTTGAAGACTGTCAAAATTCCAATAACGATTTTCATAAAAATTAAACCCAAGTATCGTTGGGATTCCGATATGATTCCGACGAAAAATATTCTTGTAATTATGATGAAATCTTCAGAGGAATCTTTCCAAGTGAATGAAATTACAATGCAATATCTAAATTTGAAAAATGCAGTTTTGAAATCTTCAGGATGTTTTAAATATTTGTCTTGAATTTGGTTTTTATAACCTGAATTCTAAATTCCAATTTTGAAGGTTTTCAAGGAAAGCGCCTCTTTATGACTCTCTCGGAATTCCGATAACCATTTTCATTATAATTACACTGAATTATTAATAACGCATAATTTCCGAAATTCAATTTAGAAATCTTAAAAATGTTCCGAGGACTCCGATAATAATTTCCGTTGGAGTTTCGGTAATGTGTGAAATTTTAACGAAAAAAATATATCTCCTGACAGTTGTTTGGCTGAGCACTGGTCCACAAAAACTGGGACTGACATCTCAGGGATATCCCAATTTGCGGAAACGTCTTGAACACCCATAGGATATCCTCAAACATACCGATGCTGATATATCAGTTTCCGAGGCAATCTCCAGTATATTTTCCCAGAAATTTTCTTAATTAATTATCATAATAATTTAATAAATAGTTGATAAATAAAGTACAATTATTCGTTCCCAAATTGACCCAAAACTTGAAGCAATACAATTGCGGCAATTGTAGTAGCTCCCGGGAATGTAAATTTGTCATGTGTATTCCATTAAAGTGGAATAATTAATTTACAGTTGCAATTCGCCTGGAGGGGATTCTTGTCAACATGCATCGAGAAAAAGAAGAAGAGGAATGATTGAAAAGAAACGTCGAGATAGAATAAATGCATCCCTGGGTGAACTGAGAAGATTGGTGCCTGCGGCAGCCAGAGATCCACACAGCGGAAAATTAGAAAAGGCGGAAATACTTCAACTCACCGTCGAACATCTGCGAACCCTCAGAAATAAAGGTGAGTTCGAGAAAATGTAATTTCATCTTTTTTAAGAATTCGTTGAATATTCATGATGAGAAACTGGATGGAGAGCGAACCTTCAATGTAATCCCTGCAGTTAATATTTCTTTCTGAATTAAGAGAGGCAGAGTAATAAACATTCAAGTATACATTGCACGAAGCACTAAATATGTTTATATTGAACTATTTTTAAGTGGGTAAACTATTCCATCCCACTCGAAAAAAATCTCTGAATTCCAAAAATACTTTAACTCCAGTAGTTTTTTTGTCTGAATTCCAATACGAATCCAAGATCTAATCTAATTCCTTCTAAATGTAACCCTTTGGGAACAACCTTAATATTCCGGCAACTGAAAGTAGGCGCAACTTGTAGAATCAAGGAGGAAGTTTATTCTCCGATTTGAATTAGAAAATTCCTATTCATCAAAAACTAAAATTTCGAACATTTCGAATTAGATTCTTTGAATTTTCCAACTATTTAATTTATATTCAAGAAAATCATTCCCCTACTTAATTAGAATAGAATAATTTAAAAGTAATTTCTAAAAGTGATTTTGAGTATAATGCACGTGTGTATAAGCAGGAAGAGGAGACTCTTGTTTACAAACAAGCGATGTTTTGAAATTTTTTTAGCCGATTAAAGTTACAGTGGCTGTGGGATCGAGTGTTCGTTTAGTTTCTTTTTATCTGGCCGGAAGACACCTGTTGATTGTGTAAGGGCGGCATGGCAAGGGCACAGCTAACTAACTGTAACCCGATAACCGAATCGCCATCTGTTACCTACAAAGTACACACTTTAGTTCTGAATGGTCTCAAATCCGAAAAGTCCTTCTTCACAGACTGTGGCAACGGCAGCACCCGTAATTTTCATTTCTTTTTCAACAAAAGCCACTAATTAACTGCATGTTACGGCCTCGGTGTTTCCATAACTAAAATCTCATTTGTCACTTTATTTTATCTCACTTTTCACACGGTTCTTCATTCCGAAGTGTTGGTATAGTCGTTTAAGCAATAATAATAATAATAATAATAATAGTCGGGGGTGGTATCGGTTGCCCACAATTCATCTGATGCATTCAAGAAAGCTGCATACAAGCAAATTTTAATAATAAAATTGTTTAATTTAGTTTAAAAATTATACAAATTTAAACTGCATGCGTTTAAAATTTTTTAATCTTAAACATATAATATTAAACTGCACAAGCTCATTTTTAATAAATTTAATAAAAATAAGCTTATGTGCATATATAGTTGAATGGTATGCAGTTTACACTGAGAGAAATGGATAGTCAGATTTTGATGTTAAAAAGATGATGTTACACGATACTATCATTATGCTACTGCCAACCATCACAGATGCTAAAAAAAATATAGTTATGCTACCCTGTACTACCAAGATGTTACTCCTGATGATATTGATGGTAACGGTGACTATCTAGATAGCTGTCTGTATACGTAGCATTAAAGATGGTCACCCTAACCACAATTATGTTACCCACTACTATAAATTTCTCTCCGTGTAAATTTGTACAATTTTCAAATTTAGTTTTCCTTTATATACAGTTGCAATGGGGCCCCAAAAGAATAGTTAGTCCCCCATTTTGTCATAGTTTTAATTTTCCAATAATTTCCTAATTCCCGCAAGTCGAGAAGTATCCCTGGGAAGCGATATCCTCGAATACATAATTGTTATAATTAAATATAATTGAAGATTTCTGAAATAATTGAAATTACCAAAAGATCTATTATCAATAATGGGTGAATCGAATTTTAAAAGATAAAGATACATCAGAGTTTCTCTAACGATATCAAATGGAGACAAACAAAATTGTTATTTAATTTTTCTTTAAATAATTGAAATTGCTTAAAATTCTATTAAAAATAATTGAATTTTAAAAGATAGGAATAAAAGTAATGAATTAAAAAAATTGAATTGTTATAATCAAATAATGGAATTTTTGGCAAAATGTGTATAAATGATATTATGAAGATTAATGAAATAAATTTTTAACATTCAACATTTTTCAACTCTTCCATTTTTAGATAAATGCATAAAGTAAATAATATAAATAAGAACTGACCTAGATTTCTGAAAGAAAACCGTAAAGCAGGAAAAGTCTATAGATATATTTCCTTGCGGATTGTCTAAATAGTTTCTTGAGTTCCCTGAATGGAGAGTGTCAATGCAGAGCAGGTGCTAGGACCTCGCGCTAGAGAATCGAGGTCCTGTGGGAAGCACAGGAAGTCAACAACTCTTCCGAGTTGCGTTCCCACGATTGGTGCAAGAAGGAGGGGGATACGGCGTGTGTGGGGTGGGGATAAGGGGAAGTTGACGCTCCCCTCCTCCGAGTGAACATGACTACAAATATGTGTAGGTATAGATGCATTGCCGTGGTCGTGGGGCAGATGTAGACTCTGTGGGAAACCAGCTCCAATATTGCTCAACGATTGTTCCGCACTCAAGTGTTTGCAAATGTAGGGTGGTTACCCCGCATGAGTCGAGAGGTCGACTGCGAAGTGATATTAAATTTAATATTCCCAATTAATGAGAGCCAGGCGAGAGATCTTTCACTTGATCACCGAAAGCGAGAAACCACTTGAGTTTCTTTTCAATTCATTGCACACAATTTATCTCCTTAATATATCTATCTTATATATATGTATATATATTAATACAACAAAGCGAAAGAGATCCAGTTACTCTATTAATTCACATTCAAAGTGCTAACTCCTATAAAATCCATAAGGAAGGCTTCAAGTTTTTAGATTTTCAATATATTTTTCCCAACAGATTTAGCAAAAGGTTTTCCGACCAAGGTCCTGGTGGCAAGTGGACTCACTAAAACTGACATCCATCCTTCTTGACACCATTACCCATGGAAAATGGAAAAGACTTGGTTTTAATATCGAAATTGTTTTTCCGAGATGTTGTGTGTATGAATTCTCCATTGTTCGAAAACACAGTGAATTGAGATAGTGTGCGAAGAAAAGGGATTACTGTTTGAATGGAGAGAAGATAAAAAAGCAATATTTACTAACCGGTGGGGTGTGTTGATACCGCAGAATAATGGAATTACATTCAACTTTTGTGAACCGATTGAGTGAGAAGAAAGAAATGGGACAAAGTTTTCGGTAATTTCATTAAAAGTATGACACTGTACAGACGACTACTTTTAGTGATTTGTGCCATTTCGGAAATATTAGATCGCGCACCCTAAAGTCTCACGGGGTTAGATGCTTGCATACTATTATGAGATGATCAAGCCACCCTTCATGGTCTATATATAAATACGTGAGTCTATGGGGGTCTAAACGATTCCCACGCTACCTGTCCCATTGCCCCTTCACAATAATACCCGGCCGGCTGCTAAAGCCAAACACGACTCCACCACGAAAGGAAAGGAGGGGGAAATGGTGTGACAAGTTCAATTTACTGCCTTCCGACTTTTCAAATTCATTTAGCATTTTGTCATTTTGTCATTTTCCAGAAAAAAGTCGAGTCAACAAAATTTATTTAATTTATACTATATCAACTAGAATAAAACATTTGTTTTTGTTTCAGGACCAGAAGGTTATGACAGTACGAAATTAGCGATGGATTATCATGCCGTTGGATGGGGTGAATGTGCAGCGGAAGTTGGTCGATATTTAGTGACAATGGAAGGTCTTGATGAGAGGGATCCTTTGAGACTGAGGTTACTTTCCCATTTGCAGAGTTTCCACCGGGAACATCCTCATTCAACAGGAACTGCAAATCCCTCGAGTGCAACATTGAGTTCGAGCTCAACAACTGCGAATTATGATTCACCGAGTTCAGTATCGACTGGAATGCCTCCAGGCTCAGGAAGCATGCCTCCCCTCTTGGGAGGCACCACTCTCGGATGGGGCCAATATCCAGGACAATATCCTCAACAGCAACATGGAAAGCCTTATAGACCCTGGGGCGCTGAATTAGCTTATTAATGATTACCTCCTGCCATAACTTGTCAAAGTTGTTGGTCTAGTTTTAGAAAACAAATTTCTAGTGAACCAAAGTTTCCAGTTTTCTGGATTTTTCAATATTCCATAACAATTTTATATTTCTAAACCTGTCCTAGTTGCCGTAAGGTCGTAATTCCTTCGAATTCCATCAGATTTTAGACGATTCTCATTCACTTTTATTTTGACACAAAGTAGAAACAAAAGAAAAGTGAAAATAAAAATCTATTCAAGTGAAAACGTAAAGAGAAATAAAAATTCGTCAAAGTGAAAATGAAAATGAAAATGAAAATGAGAGTCAAAGTAAAAACGAAAATACATGATCGCCCCCCTGTAAACTTTTAAATTATAGTCAAGTATTATATTTATATTTCTCGAGATGCACTCAGGAATTTCAAAGAGAGTCAAATAAATTTTTTCAATATTCTAACAACGAAAGAAAAAAATATTTTCAGTCGTGATAATTAACGTGACATAGTCAATAGATATAGTCATATGAGTACATTACTCGTAATATATTTATTATATATTAATAGAAAGTTAAATAAGATTAAATATTTATTTAAGATATTCTATATTTATGGACTGAGGATTTTTGTACAGTGTAAATACAATGTATGTATACGTATATATATATATACACGAAAATTATATCAAGCTAAAGAAATATCGAACATTTTTTCGATGATATTTTTAAGAAGGGAGATGAAATATTTTGATATAATTATTATTGTCATTTACATGAGTGTGTTTCGCGTTAGCCAATTGCACAGGAAAACACGATTTGGACCCGAGCAACGAAAAACATTCTTAAAGGTAAATTTTTATGTTGAATTCGTTTGTTTATAAAAATTCAACATGATGAGCAAAAAAAGTTAAAAGGCAATCAGATTTACGTACTTGAAATTTGTTACAGAAGAGTTTTAGGGGTCGATGGTTATACGAATTCACCGGATTCGAATTCTAGTGTAAGAAGGAACGTTAAAATGCGTTCTTACCATTTCGGGTCCAAAAGTTGATGTAAATTTGTTTTCCTGTGTTAATTATTTTACAAAACCTAATAATTGAATTAGGTATTGTGAAACTATGGTTCCAAGTTCATTTCTTGTTGTTTTGTTTTGTAAATTTGACCATTAGTGCCATTTTCATATGAAAACAAAGTTTCCAAATGTAAAATAGTGAATTTTTATATTGTGTGTGACCAAACAAATGAAATGCATATCGTAAATTTTTTACGAAAACTACTCAACATATTTTTGCAATAATGACTTTTTAAATAAAATATGGCATTACAAGTGATTAAAAATTGTGTCTTGTTATTTTTTCCACCTTCTCCAGAAATATCTAAAATTCTAAAACATTCAAGTCATTACTTTTGTTTCTGTGAAAGCAGAAATACATGTGTACCTGGTTGTCTATTTTTACAAAAGGTTTATTAAACTGTAAATAGCAATTGTTCTGAAACTCCTTTCTCATGTAAAAATGTATCAGTATTTTTTGTGTATAATAAAGAAGGAAGGAAACAATAATTCTTCGCTGAAACCAGTTTTGCAGCTCGTTATTTTTTTGTTTTTAATGTGCAGACAATGATTTTGCTTAAAAATAACAGAAAAATATATTGATTGTACTGTTGAATTTGAAAACGCAGTGCCAATTACCAATAGAACGATAAATGCGAGGGAGATTCTAGAATAAAGGGCGATAGAAGTCTCAGTTTTCACGAAAAGGGAATTCCCTTAGCCACGTGACCCTTTGTTCTTTCATCCCTTAGTAAATTTACATCCCTATAAGCTGCGAACAAAGAACTATACACACTCGTTATTTAAAAATAATCACCTCATATTTTAACTTGGAACTTCTGCATTCTTTTTATAAAACTTTTTCTTTTCTTTATTTAATGCAATATAATTTTGAAAATATTTCTATGTAATTCTGTTTGATTTTGACATGTCTTAAAGCTTCCCGCTCTTATGTACTAAAACTACTATTAGGTACAACTATTTTTACGATTCACTACAATTTGAATACTTTTTTAAATTTGCAATTTTTAGAAATAATCATTTTCCTGTTTCAAGAATTCATTTCTCAGAGCACTGCAAAAATGGGTGTTTTTACTTTTTTTATATCTTAAAATAAGATGTAAGATGGAAAAACGGTACCTAACATCTTAAAATAAGATGTTTTTTAAAGTATCTTACTAAAATCTAAGATGCTTTATACATTTGAGTATATTTTATATAGTGATGAAGATATTTCTTCCATTTTCGAAAAGTAAATTACTTCAGCAAGTTTTTTAAAATCTTAAATTAAGATGTTTCTGTCGCAATAAGATAATGTTTAGCGATAGAACTTGTGAGTTGTAAGATGCGAAAAAATGTAAGTTACTAAAAACTAAGATAGGGGAGAGTGGGGCAAACCGGCCAGGTGTCAATATATCTCCGAAATGGCGAAATTGTCAAAAGTGCTATTTAGAAATTTGAAACACACATGTGTAGTATACCTTATTTTTTCAATTTGACATTTTTTACTTTTGTTTGTGCAACGCTGGGAGCAAAAGTTTTTTTTAAAGTTTTTTTCTACACTTTTACGAATTTTTTCTTAAGGAAATTCCGAGGAAATCGTGTAATATTTCCAAATATTAGGTCTTGGGTTCAGGAATATTTACCACCAAAAACTTTGATGAATTTGCAAAGGGGGTTTTTTAAACAAATATTAATTTTCAAAATGAGCCTGTGGGGCAAACCGGCCATAGGATATTTTCATTGTATCATCAGAGTTTCAAGAAAATTATTATTAATTAGAATGACATATTTTGATGTTTTAATTGATCCTTAATATATAATATTCAATATTCAATTAATTGGCTTTAGGATCCGTGAAAAAAGAAGTCAAAGAATTTTCTAATTTCAGACGTTTCGGCATCTAATGTGTGCCTTCATCAGTGACTTTATTTTTCTGTAAATGAAAGAGATACAATTTGTACAAACCGTAGAGTAATAATTTGGTCGATAATGTTTTAAAAATTATTTTGAAACCTAATGTTAACGTTTTTTAGAAATCATATTGCATTGGTTCTGTGCAGTCTAAAAAATAAAAATATAATTAAAATATTGAAATATGTGAAACATAAACTTTTTCTTTTTTACACAAATGCTAATTTAAACTTAACAGTCGAATATAATTTGAACTAATTTTAATGTTCTATATGTGGTCAAAAATTTCCATTATAAAATGAAAATACAATTAAAATATATTGAAATATATGAAAAATAAACTTTTCTTTTTCTATACAAGTGCTAATTGCAAGATTTTATTTTATTTATTTTAATTGCTAAGTGCAAGATATTATAAAATATTTATATAATAATAATAATAAGGAAATGAACAATATAAGAATATAGAAATATTCAGAAACCTGCATAATTTACATCCAAATAAGAATTGATAGATCAGCAATTAAACTTACTCTCACATGTGATAATAATACTCTCTAAATGTTGCACGAATTTTCGTAATATTCGATGCAGAATATTCAAAATGATGACATTTGTAATCCAATATTATTCTTGAAATAAGATACAATGCATTCACAGGAGATCCTAAAGCCAATTAATTGAATATTGAATATTAATTAGAATGTTTTTTTCATTTAAATATTTACTTTCAATGAAAAATAATTGTCTTCCAATGAGAATTAGACCCTTTAATATTGTTTCCCTGATAATTTCAAACATTTTTGTTTTGTTATTAAAAAAATTATTTATTTAATTAAAATTCAATCCTGTATTATTATTATTATTATTATTATTATTATTATTATTATTATTTACATAATTACAACCATTGTTCACATGATTCTTTATGTTTGTTATTATTGTGGATTATACAAATGCAATATTATAGATAAAAACGTAGGTAGCCGGTTTACCCCAGGGGGTGGGGCAAACCGGACAGTTTGCAAATTTTTTTAAAGTTAACACAGCAACTAAACAATAAAAGATAAAGTATAGGTGTCTCTGGGAAAAAGTTGCGCAATTAAATGATCTTTCAAACAAGCCATTGAAAAATGAAATCGGTGAATTTGTTTAGTCACAAGAGTAAAAAATCCGTTAGTAGGGCCGGTTTGCCCCACTCTCCCCTATATGCAGAAAGTGTTTTACCAAAACTTTTTTCCCAAAATATATGCTGAAAATGTGTATGAAGATACTTTTAACATCTTAAATTAAGATACTTATTTTTGCAGTGAGAATTTTCTGATAAAAATTGACTTATAGATTTTTGTCACCGGCAATATAATAAGGAAATGACAGAAACTTATAAAATTTCCTCAGTTTGTTCTTTAAATTATTTGAGAAACATGCGAATTTTTCAGAATTTATTACCACCCATAGGTTTTCCTTAAGAAAATAAAATAAATATGCAATTAAACATTCCCAGAAAGCACGTACCTACAATTTGTCCTCTAAAAATAATTGAAAAAAATATAATTCATACAGTAATACAGCATAATTTTAATATAACTACCATAAATATAATATGTATCAGAAAGAAATACAGTATCGAGGAGTGTGTCTTTTTGGGGAGGCAATAAGAAGAACGACATATTTTTTCAATAAAATCAATTTATATTATTGTTAGTCGCTAGTGTGTTAGAAATTCACAGCCTTAATGGTAGATTAAATATAAGATATGCTTTTATCTCCATTTACATATAAATAGCTTTCGATATATCTTAGCACTCACATTGTATGAAGACAGGATGTTTCGGAGGATTTTCGATAATCTGAAAAAGATTACCTCTTCAATCAAAAGATCAAAAGTCCTGAGAGATCCTATTTGTTGTAATCTTACACTATATGCATACCTATACATTCTTTTTATCTTATTCGTACACACAAACGGGAAGAATAAAATTCCAATGTCGATATCTTAACTATTTCATCATAATAAAATAAAAAACAAAGTAAAATGCAGTACACGGAGAGAAGTTTGAACCTAAAATTACTGTGCTGTGTGATCAGAGTCAAGCTAATACATGTAATAGCGTATAGTTCCATGTGAGCAGAAAAGCATAAGACTATATCTGCGACTATCTCTCTTCCACTTATTATTTTTTGCTTTCGGCTTCTGCTCGCATGGGACTGCATCATTAGTTAAGTACCTTCATTCTACGGAACTTCCAATGAACATTTCAAAACTGGCAAAAAAGTCTGTCCAAAAACTTGATACTGCTAAAGATACATAAGTAAAATATCGACAATGAAAAAGGAAGAAAAATATTTGCCTCTAATTTATAGAAAGCCTAAATGTTTGAGCAACGAATCGCAAGCAGAAAGATGAAACCCTTACTATTGTGTTGAGTCTAGGTACGTGCAAGTACCTGTTAATCGTTCCTAGAGCAGCAAATAATGAACTAAAATTACTTAATACTGTTAGTTCATCACAGTAAAAAGTAAATCTTAATTTAAGAGCTGCCTTAAATTCAACACTGTCTGCTATAATGTTAAAGGATACGAAAAACGTGCGTAAATTCAACATTGACTGTCTTAAAAATGTTGCATCTTAATTTAAGGCAGCTTTCGTGCCTTAAAATAAGATTTTCTTTTTACTGTGATTATGACATGTAACACCTATTGGTTTCCATTAGAAAAGAAGCATCCATTGTGCATAAGACGATCGTTTCAGGGTGACAAAGTTTTTTCTTATTATTAAAATCCCCCTAGGAAAAATTCCCTTGAAAAGTTTCATGAAATTTCGATAATAATTTCCGTTGGAAACAACTAGATTTGCTTAAGAAATCCAATAGTTTGCTTTTGAATTTGTAACAAGATTATCAAAAGTATAATTGGAATTTTAACAGAATTTTATTGTATTCCAAAAGAATTTCAAGTCTGCATAAAGAGGAATCTAAAAAAACTATTATTTTTGCCACTGGTTTTAAAAATAATTCCATTGGTTTCCGGAATTTAATCTTTAATCAAAATTCCAACTACAACTGGTTACTGGAACAAAATCAAAAGTTTCATTGAAAATTTGAAATTACGTTAAAAATGTGTCGAAAGTTTATTTTTATTTGAAATTCCGATTCCGGTTGAAAAAAATAGAATCCTGATTTAAATTTTAAATTGAAATTTAGACAGGAATTAAAAATCGGAATTATTCGAGAGAATGCTCAAAAACACTGTCTAGGGAATTTTTCCAATTAGGAACTGTTCATTATACTAATTTAATATACATATATATTTTCCCTTTTTTGTACAGTATATAATTAAAAGATTTTTGGTTCATTTTTACAATAATTCTTTATGAACTACATTTTTGGTTCTTGAATTAAATTCAATTTTAAATTGTAAAACTAATTTTTTTGGTTTATAATTTACATTTGACTTTAAGATTTCTTTTATAAATGCAAAAGGTTATAACCTCTGACCATTCGATAAAAATTATAGAAAGAAACTTGAGATTGATTTCTTTTATTCTATTAAGAATTCAACTGATTCATTTATAATTTTATTAATTTTAAAAAAGGTCTTGAAAAGAAGTAGTTTTTTTTAATAATACGATAATATAGTAGAAAAAATAAAATTGTACAATTTAATAAATTGGTAAAAAATGAAATAGAATTGTAATACAATTTTTTGAAAATAGAATTTTTGTTTCTTTAAAGAGTAAGGCAGGTGCATTTCATTTATTTGCTTTCTTTCCTCTCTTTACCTATAAATAGCAAAAATATTTCAAGAATATTGCGTCAGTATTGTCTGGAAATATTTTGGCAATGTTGCACACACATTATATTTACCGCAATTTTGCTGCAATGTAATTCATGAAATACTATTGACATGCATGCTGTGCTCTTTGAGTAATGTTGCCCCAATATTTCACAGCAATATTCGCAATATTGCCGAAATATTATGGTCACATTTTGTTTTATTTGGACACATCTTTAACTTTGGAAGGAATCGAAGAATGCGCACGTGAAAAGATTGTCAGAAATGTGATTCTTAGAATTTCCGACGGAATTCTTATTGGAAACTGGGTTCGATTTTGAACCTTAAAGTAACAGGAATTTGTAAATCTTATCGAAATTCGAACAAATCCTACAATTCCAACTAGATTTCGCAGCAAGAATTCAGATGGAAACTTTAAGAAGCATTTTTCTGGGAATCTCGAAATTTGGGTGTTAGTTTAATACAACACTCAAAAAAAAAACTAGTAGATTTGACTACTTTTTAACTACCCTGAGTGATTCAATAGGTCCTCAACTGAATTTAAAAATTTATATTTACTACCGAAAGTAGTAAAAAGAACTAAGAATTTAGTTGATGTAATTAGATTTTGTAGTTGTTTTTGCAATTTAACTACTTTTTTTAGTTATATAAACTATTATTCTTCAACTATATTCAAAGTAGTAAAATCAACTACACAAAAATTGTTAGTAAAACTAAAAAAGTAATTAATTTGACAACTTTCAACTCAACTAGGTAATAGTAGTTAAAGATTTCGACCGAATTTTTTTCAGTGAATTTTTATCTATATGTATGCTCGTTAAAGAACTGTAAGAAGAATCTCATGATTTAAATTTTAAATTGAGATTGTGAAATGTGTGGGTCTTACTGCGCTGTTTTTAAAGTATTAGTATTATGTACTTAATATTCGTTATACATAAATTTTTTTTTCTTTAAAATTGATTCCACAGTAATTGGTACGTTAGCAGTGTACGGTACTCAATTTATGACGCTTCGAAAATTTACCTCGTAGTGGCGCTACGTTCTATGTTAATTAAAATTAGATAATGTAAAAATATAAACTTGGATATTTTCGGTACATAAAAAAGAATTCCCGTATGAGAAAGTTCCAGGGAATGAGACCGAGATATGAAAATGAAAACCAAAAAATTCCTGGAGACACTCCCGCGAACTTTTTCACATACATAAATGTTTTACAATAAAAGAATCTACCGAAGTATGATAAATGGACATTAAAAATAATCCACACAAGAAAAGAATTTTTTTGGTTATAAATTATAAAAATACAATCAGCAATAAAGAATGTGTAAAACCCTCGGATGATTATTGAAATTACATAGTTTTTCCCAACTATTTGAAAAATATTTATTTAATTCACTATAACGCAGTAAAGTATAATTTGAGCAACCGCAGTAATTGGTATAAAGTATACGCTTAAAAAAGAGATCATTTATTTCAATTCATAAATTAATAATGAATATAGTAAATAAAAAAATTAGTCCACTTCAAATATTCAGATATCATGTATTGGTAAGCATGCAAGTAAATTGCAATGCAACTTTTTCGAGTTTAATGTCAATCTTGCAACAAGATGCAAACTTGCAGCAAGATTGCACTGCTAATTTCCAAAAGTTACATGGTAAGCTTGCTGAAAACTTATATAAGAATAAAATAAATAATTTAAATCTAAAGTGAAAGAAATGTAAAAAGAATATTCCCTAATAATAAAAAATAGAACAAATTAAATTAATGAAAATATTCTTTTAAAAATTCAAAAAGTTTACTACTATAAAAATTGTCGAGTTTATCTTTAAAAAGGTAAAATATTTTTATTTCTATATTACATTTCAGAACGGACGGATTTAAAATGAGATTTTAATTGATAAAATGTACAAATTGAAAGAAAATTGCAAAATTAGTTTTGAAATCAGTGAATAATATCTCATTCTCTAAAAGTACAAAATTTTAGTACGTGCGTATTTAGCTAAAAACAATTGTTGTAAAAACATATACTTTTGCACAGACATATAAATTCTAAATCGTTTTTTCAAGTGGGGTTAGGGGCTGTACACATAATACGTCACGCGGCTAGGGGGAGGGGGGGGGGGTGAACTCATGTGTTACGTCACAATCTTTTAAATTCAAAGATTATAAGAAATTATATGTGACAATGTCACTTTTTCTAAATAAAACAAGTTAAAAATGCTTTAAACTATTTAATATCTATTATGTACCTGTTTAACATCTATTGGCATATTATTTATATTATGATGATAAATAATATATTCTCTTAATTTGAATCAGTTAAAAATCATGGTTTTAACTGACAATCAGCAGTGACTGACTTTTTGCTTCTGAATCAGTTAAAAATAACTGAAAAATTATCCACAAAACACCGACATTTTTCTAAATATTGTATATTAACGATTGGCTTGCATAATTCGAAAAATTTACTTGCAAAGTTTATTTTAAAATTGTGTAAAGATTTAAATTTCTCACTCCAATAAATGTCTATCGTCAAATTTTCTTAAAAATATAGCTTGAAACTTTCCTGAACATTTGAATTGCATTTTCGACTATATTGTCGTGAAAATTTTCCTGAAAATTTAAGTTAAATTTTCAGGAAAGTTTCGCGCTAAACATTTACTGAAGTGGGATATTTATATGTTTCCACAATTTTAACTAAACTTTGCATTTAAATATTTCAAAGCTTGCGAGTAAATCTTTAGTAAATTTTTAGGAAAGTTTCGATGCTATATATAGGTAGTTAAACGTGACTAATTGAATCAAACCAAAAAAATTGTATTGAAACATCAGTTATTTTTAACTAATTGTTAGAAAAAAATATTACTATTTGAATTAGTGACTGACTTTTTGCTTCTAAATCAGGTATTTTTAACTGATTCAATAATTTAGAGTGTAAGATATAATATATATTGTCCAATGTATGAAATTTACAGTGAAATTTACGTGTGTGACGTGACGTAGGGGGAGGGGGAGGGGTTCAAGATTTGTGACGAAGTGTGACATAGGGGGAGGGAGGGGTTAAAAATGGTCAAAAATCGCGTGACGTATTATGTGTACGGCCCCTTATAACTTCAAAAGCAGTGCTAAAGTACACGAATATATATATATATTAATCTCAAAATTTATAACAGCGAAAAGTCGTAAAATGTACTTTCCTAATTTCAATTTTATAATAATAAGAAAATAATAATATACCTAGTAATATTGCAGCAAGCTTGCGGAAATATTACACGGAAAACTCGCTGCAATATTGCCTGGTAAGATTGCCGCAAGCTTATCCGTATTCCAGTTTAGTTTTCCACTTGGTTTCGAAATATGTAATACGGAATATTGATCAGGATTTCGCATTTTCGATTCCGTATTCCGTTCCCACATTCGGAACTTGATAAATTTTAGATTAGAAATTCGAAAAAATTGAAATCCAAAAATAAGAATCTGGTATCTGGAGGTCGATTTCATAACTTATCCCGGATTCCACATTACAAATTCAGTATTCATATTAATATACTTATAGATTTCAAATTCAGGACTTGACATTCCACACTGAAAAAAAAATATTTATGGTACTGCCATAAATATGGCCAAATTTCACATATTATATTGGTGGATATGGAACAGCCATACAGTATTGCTGTAATAAAATTGACAATGTGGAATGTGGGATCCGGATTGTGGAACGTGAAATCCGGATTGTGTAAACAGTGAAATGCAGAATGTGTAATACTGAATTTGAATATGAAATTAGGATTATGGAATGTAGAATTCGGATTGTAGAAAGTGATATGAGCTCTAATGTGTAAAGCGGAATGTTAAATAGTGGGATCGTATTGTGGAATGTAAAACACGGAACGTGGAATCTGGAATGAGTTACGTAACGAACCTCCTGACGAAATTCGGATAGACTTTCGATTATTTCCGATAGAATTTAAATAGGATTCTAATTTCAGTAAAAATTTCCTTTCGGACTTTAACTTCACTTGAATTCTATCGCAAACGCATCGGAAAATTCTATTGAAATTTTAATAAAATTAATACTTATTTTAAAACTGTAAATTTTGTATCTTATCACTATTATTCTTCCCAATCAGTCGAAAGTTTGCAACATGGTACCAGCTGCTACAACATTAGAATTGGGATAGACAAGAATTGTTATGTATATTGGAAAAAATATACTTTTCTTATATTACTTATAAGGGATAAATAATTTGTATGCTTGCTTGTCGAACGACTGCATGGCAAACTTGCCAGAAAAGCATGTCCTCCTAATCAATGTTATTTTACAATTTATTAAATTAGTCTGAATAAAAAAAGAGGTTAATCAAATCCTTTATAAAAATAAATATACATTGAATATTTCTTAGAAATTCTATCTAAATAAATATTTTCCTCTTAATTTAGTTTTTAGTGACATTTTTTCCTCCCCCCCCCCCCCCTCTCTCTCTCTCTCTCTTTATACAACATTTTATACATAGTAAAAAATTAGGACCCTGCTTCCTTTGTTCGTTACAATTTGAACGCCTCCTGAAATTCGGTGATAAATATATAAGTATCTAAAGACAAAACAAGGCCAATGAAATTATCCCTATTATTTGTTTCTAGCCGTTAGTTGATCATTTCGTTCTCGAGATTTTCGTTCCTTTGATTTTCTTCGTGTTCGGTGCAATAGGAACAGGGACTCGTGCTTTCACCTCGGGAGTTAAGTGAATCAAATCCTTCAGCTACGTACGTGACGTAGGTGTTGATGCTCTTCCTATCGAGGGAAGGCAACGAACCAGACAAGGATAACGATTCCAAACTCTCTACCTCCTCAAGGTCTGATATAACTAAGCGCCAAGGATCTATCTCCGGTGTTAGGGGTCTTGACTTTTTAGCAAGTCCGCCCGATGTTGAGAGCTTCTTAATTGCCTAGAACAGCGGAAATTATACATTCTTTGAAATTAATAAAGCAAATTACTTTAATCTATTCACCATTTCTCTCTTAATTAATATCAATTATTCAATACAAATATTTTTTTGGTCGAAGGAACCTTTCAACGAATTTTTTTTGTGGACCTGTGTTATTATTTAAGGAGTTAGGGGCAGTCGATATTTTGGTACATTTTCTGAATATGTAGTAGGGCAGTTGATACACTGGTTGCAACTGGTTAATTGGCATTGAACCTTTAAAGTCTCTCATCTTATTAAATTTTAATGAATTTTTATTTTACAAGGTAAAATCATTAGGAAATGATTCTCTACTTATATTTAAGGTATATAACGAAAATTAAGTTAAAGTTGTTAGCAATTTATTTGTAGAAACATTTATTGTCGGATCCAATATAGCGAATAAGAAATTTTTATTGTCATCTACTTCAGTTAAAATTTGTTACTCTGGGGTTTTTGGGGTCGCTGATGACGAATCTGAAGTTGGATTTTCAAAATTCAAAATGGCTAAATGGCGCATCAAATATGGCGGATGCGAATTTTTATTTTCGTCTGATTTAGTTCAAATTCGTTACATATGGGTTTTCACTGCAAAAAGAAGTATCTTACTTTTCTAAGATGGAAGAAATATCTTCATCATTGCTAAAACGTATAAGGCATCTTAAATATCAGTAAGATGCTTTAGAAAACATCTTATTTTAAGATGTAAGATACCATTTTTCCATCTTACATCTTATTTTAAGATATCAAAAAAGACACCTATTTTTTCAGTGAATTTGGGGTTGCTGCATGATTGTGAATTTGAAAATGAAAATTTTATATTCAAAATATTTTGTCATTGGAACATACAAATTTTGCCAAATAGTAACGATTTTAAACTGAATCAGACGAAAATAAAAATTTCTCATCCGCCATATTGGTTCCGCCATTTTGAATTTTGAAACTTGAACTTCAGATTTGTAATCAGCGGCCCAAATAACTCCCAAGGTAAAAAATTTAGGCGAATCCAACGACTTTTTGGTGAAATGTAAAATATGTGCATGAACTTGAATATTTTGCAATGGATTTGACCCCATATTAGGTCCGCCATCTTGAAATTTTGAATTCTGCTTTACATAACTTTAAAGTGGACAACTTTTATGCACTTTTGGTTGAAAAGAAAATTATATTCTCACACTTTTTTTGGTTGAAAAAAAATATAAAATTTGAAAAATCGAAATTTTTTTTGTGTTTTTTGACAATTAATCCACTTTATTTAATTTTGGGTTCAAAAAAATTAAATTTTAATTTTAGATTCGAAAAGAGCACACTTAAAACCTATAAAAAATATTCTGCCGGTAAAAAGTTTAATTTTTTTGTTTATAATAACGTAGCTTGAAAATAGAATACAAATTTAGATTTTTAGATTTCACAATCCTGATTTCATATTCCGTTTTCATAGTCCATATTTGTGATTGCACAAATTTGGAAATTAGAAAAAAAATTTGTATTCGGAATATGAAATACGGAAAAAAATATCAATTCAGATCCCAATGGGAAATTGCCAATGCTCACCATTGGCTAAATAATGGACCAATATTGGCTGCCAACAGTTTTTTCTTGGTCAAACATTAGCAACCAATATTGGGCTATTATTATAAATTGTAATTCCAGTTCTCTGACGGAATTGCATCCTCATTTTTAATTCCGTTCCTCTTTTAGCCAGAATTCGAATACTCATTAGAATAAATATTTCAGTAAGATTTTACAATTTTTTCGAGTTGTTTCAGTCTGAAATTTAAAAGTTACTAGTTGTTTTGTAAAAAGCTACGCCGTCGGATTTTGTACGTGGTGTGAAATCTGCAGCTCACCATTTTTATTCGGAAGTAAAAAAATCTTTTCATATTATTTACATATTTTATTATTAAGTGAACCACCTTCAGCTACAAATATTAAAAATTTCAAAATTAACAGTAGTTTGGAGAAGGTCAAAATTTCGCCTTTTTCGAGAAAAACGCGTTTGAAACATAATTATGTTTCGAAAATTGGACATCCAAGAGAGTACAAAACTACTGATATATTCTAATCTGTAATTGCAGCACATTCAGCAACTTCTGTCAGATTTCCCCCTTATCTCCCTACACTGCAAAAAGAAGTATCTTATTTAAGATGTTTTGGTAGTCATTTCCAAGATGTTATCCCGAGTCGAAATTTAAGCCCTACTTTCACCCTGAATTTTCAGGGGCTGTTGAGTGTTAGGAGTAGTAAAGTAGGGTCTAATTCTAATACAATTAGACCCTACTTTGACTCCCAAAATAGGCGGAAATTTGCCAATCTTCCATTTGGAGAAGCAAAGGAGGGTCTACTTCTAAGAAACCTATACCGTACTTTTATACCTCGTAGACCCTACTTTCATACTCCTAGACCTTACATTCTGAAAGAAAATTTTGAATTATTTTTTAATGCATTACTTGAAACACTGCAAATGCAAAAAGTACTCCAAATTCATAAATACACTGCAAAAAGAAGTATCTTATTTAAGATGTTTTGGTAGTCATTTCTAAGATGTTATTGTAGTCACTTTTTAGTCATTTAAAATATCTTAATTTAAGATACTAAAAGCATCTTCGTACATATTTTCAGCATATTTTTCGGGAAAAAAGTTTTGAGGTTAACTATGGGCTTATATGTAAGACATTTTATGTATCTTAGTTTTTAGTAACTTAAAATTTTTTCGCATCTTACAATTCACAAGTATCTTATCGCTAAACATCTTATTGAGACAGAAACATCTTAATTTAAGATACTTTAAAAAACTTACAGAAGTATCTTACTTTTTTAAGATAGAAGAAATTATATCTAAGACGTATAAAACATCTTAAAAATCAGTAAGATACTTTAGAAAACATCTTATTTTAAGATGTAAGATACCATTTTTCCATCTTACATCTTATTTTAAGATATCAAATAAGACACTTATTTTTGCAGTGTATAATACCATTGGTCCACTTACAAAACGAGACAAATAAAAGACGGACGCCCTTTCCCAATACGTGTTTAGTGAGTTCACGCGGTAAACCGGAGAGAGCCTTTAACTAACATAATAGTTTGTCACATAATTATAATTCTGTATTATAAAGGAATAATAGTAGGCGACTTTGGAGAATATAATTTAAATTAAATCGATAAACATATTGGGACAGTCATAAGTCACCAATAAATTTCTGCGCACGATTTAAAATCTATCTCTGTGAATTTTGATTGTGGCGTGTTTTACGATGACACTACCAATGTTAACTTCATTCATTATTCATTATATTATATTTTCTATATCGTAGTTTATTACTTGTTAGAGTTGCCTAACAAATTTTTTATACCATTTTCTTCGATACTCTTCAATTTTTTTTCATATGGCAAAAAATTTGATATATTTTTTTTATTTTCTTTCAATATTTGCTCGTGCAGCCGTGCCGGATGAAAATTACCATTGAATTATTTACATGGGAATTCGCTTTTTACAGATACATGCACGAAAGTAGATCAAAATGACTTGAAAACAAACGAAAAATAAGTTGAAAAAGAATAGCATCGGTATTATTCTCTTTAAAGTGAGTTTTTTTAAAATTGGTAATTTTGAAATTTGGATTAGATTTTCATATTTAAAAATGGTGTTCTTATCCAATATTATATCAATGTCTTTTAAAGTTATTATATTTTGCTTTAAAAAATATTTAGGAACGGGCAGTTTATATCGAATTCATAATTTCTTATCGTGGGAATTGGGAAAGAAGCTTGACTTCCATGCATATTTGATTATATGTAGTTTTTAAAAATTCTCCGGTATTATTGAATGTCATATTTTGATTTTTGTAAATTCGATTTCAGATTGGTAACAACCGGCACTAAAAAAATTCCAAGTAACGAGTTTCAAGCCATGGCAATACGTGTAAGCACACGTCAATATTATACACTTGCCAACTTGAATTTCTGTTTTCTCGAAAACGTCACATTTACATTTTCACATGTGGAATTTCAGTGGTAATTTTCGCAAACTCAATTTTTCATTACTAGAAAAATATAACTTAGAACTAACTACTACAAACGTATGAAAGGGAAGTCGAGAATAATTATAAATTTCCCTTATGTTAGACTAATTAAAATGTATTTAAAGAATCAACAGACAGGTTACTATTATGAATAAAGTATTTCTACTAATTCGAAACTAAGGAAAAATTAAAACTAATTAATATATTTTCATATTAATCTACTAATGATAATCAGGAGAAAAACCGCAAATTCTTAAATTAAAATGAAAGTAATTTATGTGGATGCTGAATAAATAAATAAAGTAAACAAGTGCATGTTAATTCTCACAAACAACGTGGAATGAAAAGCTCTCCACAGTTTCTGCAAACAAAGAAGAAAGAATCCAGTAAATAAATTAAAATTGGTCAACTTTGTTGAAACTCATTTTAAAAAACATAAATAAAGTTGTAAAAACTACTAGCAAGCAATTAAAGATAATTGCAAAGGTGCAAGAATTCCTAATGACAGACGTTCCAAAGGATAACTAATAAAAGGATGATTTAAAATGAAACTAACGAATTTCGTGCCAGGAAAGTGTGGAAAAACTGTTGAATCAAGAACGAATCTCCTCACCCGTAAAATCCTCCGGCCGGACTTAGAAAGGACTTTTTTGAGCATGTCTCCCGCGTTTTATAATATTTGAACTTGGTGCACCTGTTCTCGCGAATGTGAAATTCGTTGGGAGTCGACCTGCACCGACACGGAGGGTTGAAAAAAGGAGGATCGATTTTTATGGGCAAAAGGACAACGCTCTGATGGAGGAAGGCGACCACGACGCGCACCAGGGGGTGTGTATAGTGAGAATGCTGCTACTTCCTAAACTGCAGTCCTACTTATAAGCTCTCCCACCCTGGCCTTATCAAACTGCCAGTCAGTCGATCCCTCCAACTCACCCCCTCCCAGGAAAGGTGGACGAGCAGCTCGATTTCGCGCGCGCGGCGCGGCGGCAGTGGGGCACCTTTAATATCTGTAAGTGAATCTGCGTCAATGTGGGATAACGACGGAACATCAGAATGTTCCCCAGGGAACGTTGCCTCTGGTGGTGAGAAAATTTCAAATTGGATTAATGTCCCTGTGATTGATAGTTTTTCTTTTTCAATGTACGCCCAGCATTCACATCCATTGTACTGATTTTTAATCAACTTTTTTCCTTGTTGCGAGTTTGCGAAAACTTATTACTTCTTTACAGCCAAATACTTTGGTGTTTACATTTTAGGTCATTGGCTTTCCCTGTGTCTTTCAAATTCGACTTTCATGGATAAGCAAAATTTTAATTCAGTTGACATCGAACTGTCGTTCTAAAAATGTTTTCTTTTACTTTCTTCTTATTTTTAAAATAAATTAAAAGAAAAAATCTATTTCTAAAAAAAATTTATTATATTTTAAAAAGCTGTGTGATTATTACTTTTTTGGTGTATTAAAAGTGTATTTATTGTTTTAAAAAATACGTATCATTTTTAATTTATTGTAAAATAGTGCTTTAGATCGTTATTTATAATAGTACATTATGCAACAAGGGAGGTATGTCCGAGTTTATGTACCGAGCACAATATTGAAAAACGAGGTTACCTCCCTTGTTGCATACTTTGCTTTATACAACAAAGGCGTATTATGGTTACTCTATGCTACCTGTACCGGTGCATGCTAAGTTCTCCCATATAACCCAGCTGGTCAATAAAGTAACCATTATTGCCCTAGGGAAATAAAGGGCTCTTTATTGACCTGTGAGCGGTCAATAATGTACCCTTTCTCTCCCTAGGGCTATAATGGTTACTTTATTGACTGCTGGGTTATAAGGGGGAACTTAGTACGCGCCTGTACAGGTAGATAAAGTGACCATAATACGCCTGAGTTGTATAAAAAATGTTTAAGTATTTTTAATTGCTATAAAATTTTAGCGTGATGAGGTTTGCAAACCTTATTAGCCGACGAAACGTAGCTTTTTGACGTTTTTAACGATTGCATTTTATTCAATCTTCCCATGATCATTTATTCTATCATTAACAAGGGATGACAATTATTCCACTCATCGCTCGACTCATAAATCTGTCGATAATAAATACTTTCTCAAGTCTTAGAGTAACTAGCAAACTTTATTCTGTTTGAAAAGCAAGTTTTACCGTCAAAAATTATGCTCTACCGAAGGGTCAAGTTTAATGCTGGTACTGTCAATTTTTTACATGGATTTTTAAGGAGCAAATCTTCCCTAGTGAAAGACAATAGGATCAAAGTTTATCCCATCTCAAAATTTGAATCAGCGGAAAATCGCTGATTAAGTATGCAGCGGCTTTACGCTGATTCAAATTTAGAGAGTCCTACACGGAAAAAATAAGTCGCGGAAATTTTCCTCGACTTTGTTGAAGACTCTCGGATTTAGTGGAAAGTGTTTTAAAAATCATATTCACAGTTTTTGAAGAAATAGACTACATTTGAAGAAACTTTCCGCGACTGTCGAAGAAAATAAAGACTCCACGCGCATGTAACCGATTCCGCCACAGTCGCGGAAAATTACAAACCTGAATTTACTCTACAGCGTTCTAATTTTTAATTGACAGTCGCGGAAATTATTTAGAATTTTTTAATGTATATATTAATATCGACACATTGAATAATAAAAATAATAATAATCTTGACAATCAATTGTCATAAATATTGTTAGAAAAAAATGTTAAAAAAACAGTGTTTATTGGTTTTAACGCGCGCAACTTTTGTGCGCACCATTTTCCGCGACTCGTCGACGAAACCTTCTATGAAGTGTTAGAATAATTCCGAGACTGTTTTCCGCTACTAGGTTTCTAGAAAGTCCTCGACTTTTTTTGGAGAATTTCTGCTAAAATCGTAGAACATTTCTAAAAGTCTATAAAAGATTCGTTCATATCCGAGAGTCTTCGATTAGTCGCTGAAAATTTCTGCGACTATTTTTTTCCGTGTACATCATCCGAAGAATTGAAATTCTTCTTCGAGCTTTGTGAACACCCGCGTCACATATATTGTATACTACGAGTATTACTATTCCATGGAATAGTATATAAACATTCCCATTAGTAAAATTAATAAATTTGCCCTCACAACAATTCCACATAATTGAAGCATTCCGTAGCTAATCCTAGAGATATCCAACGGAGATTATTAAAATTTTCTTGAAAGCGGCGGTTTGGATATCCATAAGATATCATCTGGATGTTCAGAAAGTATCTTAAGGGTATCCCAAAGTTATCCCAGGAATATGCTTAAAGTAATTTTAAAAATTAACTTTTTAAAGTTACTTTAAGTATATTCTAGAATGTTTTGTATTATATTTAAATTAAAAAATTTAAAAATATTGTTATCGACTTTTTCTCATGTGAGAATGTGAGATGCTAACATAAATAAGAGCCATAAACCATGTAGTAAAAAGTGAACTTAATATTATAAAAAAAGAGTAACTATAATTTAATATTAATTGTTACACAGCGTAGTTTTTTGTTATGTCAAATAGGATTGAAGGATGTAATTATTTTAATCCCCGGATGGCTGTTTTTCCTAAAAATATTATTCTGGAACACGTGGAACCCACGTGTAAAAATTCTCTGCAAAAATGCTCCTTGTAATTAACGTCAACATTTTTATTTGAAATTCTGTTGGAATTCCTACATGACTTCCATTGAAATTCTGATTGAAATATAGATTAATTTTCCGACCAAAGTTCTGATAACTTATATGCATCCTATAATAATTATACATATATACAAATATAAAAAATTTTAGAATTCCGCGGCCAGAACTCCAATTTATATTTCGTTTGAATTTTAATCGAAATTCTTGGAATTCTGATAGAAACCGAAGGAGAGGAGCTTTCTGGGGAATCTTTCTAAATGGGAAAGTTCGTCTATTATTTCTATTTGTACTCATTATTGAACTTTCAGATGAGTCTGCAACAGGAAATTAAACTCCAGCACAATAAGAGGTAAAGTAATATAATTTTCATCACAGAGAGCTGCAGCAAAACGTCTAGATGTACCTTTAACACTTTTTAATTCTGTTTAGGAGATCTCATTCAGTCGCTGTTAAGTTGAATAATTTTAAATTCGAATCAGTTGCACATAAATATTTCAAAGCTCCTCTCATCATCTAATTATAATTAAACACATTAATCCTGCTTTGAATATTTATTTCATTTTTTGCCTATTGTTAAATTAAATTTCCTTAGATCTTAAAAATTTAATTTTAAAATTGATGAAGAAAAGTAAATGTCCGATGTGGCCCTGGTCAGGAAATCTCTACACGGGATCATGTCGCAGTCCTGCAGATCAATTATAGTGGCATCTAGTGCCGTTTGTATTCGAAGGATCGAATTTATACTGTCTCTCTTTCATAACTTGTAAACAGGAAAAAGAAAGAAAAGAGGGGGATAAGTCATAGATAGGGAATCGGGATTCTGCAAAACAAAGTAATTAACAGAACTGTAATTCCGAGAAGGTCAACGTGATAACAATGATTAAAATCATAGCAGGGTTCATTGCAGGTATTTACAGGACTATCGCACGTAAATACAATGGAAACTATTTTCCAGAAATAGCAGCAAACATCGCATTTTTCTATCCGACAATTCTAATCATTGTCTTTGATCAAAGAGAGTCTTGAGACTAAACGTTTCGATGTTTGAAAATGAAACGAAGAATGAATGAATCGACCTGTATATAATGAGTGAGAAGTTGAATCGATGCATACGAGCAACGTCTGCGTGCGTGTGCATCCGCGTGCATGTGACGCGTGTGAGCGACGTTGTTCTCACGCGACGCCACGCGTCTGCAGTAACCCCATAACACGTGCCGGCCATATACCCACGAAAACTCATAATTGTCATAACAGCTAAAAATTCTCTGTACTTGTGAGTAAGACCACGTGTGTGCGCACTTACACGCTTTTGCACTCAATCACTTCGAATTTATGTAACTAATTGAGTTTCAAGCCTAATATTTTGTATTGTATTTTCATATTCGTACAGATAGTCGGGAAGTTGCATAGTTTTTATATAAAAACACAAAAGCCATACACAAAATGACTAATTATTCTAAAAAATAAATATGTCTGGAAAGTTGGTTTTTCAAACAATATTCAATAATTTTTCAATTTACTTTTCGATTAAATATTGTTTAATTCTTTGAAACATTCCTTTCTTTGTGAAAATTAATTCAAGTATATTAAGGGCCGAACAAACCAAACAATTCCATTACAATTTATTTTAAACATGAAATGCTTTTTTTATCGTTTAGAATTTGAATTTTCGGGTTTTTAGATTCGGAAAAATGACCGTATACCGAAGTGGGATGATGACACTGACTAATTCTGCAAGGTGGTAGAAAATTATTTAGTAATAACGAAGTATCATAATCCCAGGTGCGAATTTAGGTTGGCCGCCAGAGTTTGAAGGTTGGCCCAAGGTTGGCCTAACTTTGGCAAGCAAAGTTTTGGTTGCCAGAGTTTGCCCAACTTTGGCAAGTACTTGTGCCCACAGTTGGCCCGACTTTGCAAGCCAACCATTAAATGCAGAGTTTAACCAACCGTCGGGCCAACTTTGGCGACAAAGGTTGGCACAACTTATCCAAACGTAGTTTAAAAGACTTTCAGTTTCGGTTGGCCGAACTCTGGGCCACGGTTGGCCCAACGGTTGGCAAAACTATGTGAAACACAGTTTAATTGACTTACATTATTTTGGTTGGCCGAACTCTGGGCCACGGTTGGCCCGACGGTTGGCAAAACTATGTGAAACACAGTTTAATTGACTTAAACTTTCTTGGTCGGCCGAACTT